ATCTTCGATCTTCGATAGCCAGCGAAGATCGAAAATCGAATACAGCTCAGGGCCGTTAAGTTGAAAACGTTAAAATACCACAAATTACAAATTAAAATCGGAGGNCGAATACATTTCAAGAGTGCTTAATTTGCTATATTCAAAGATGGCTTGAGAAATTGGTGAATCGTGAAGAAAACACGTTTTCTCACTGCAAATTCACAACTGTCAACTCATTGTTCTTCGCCATATTCTTTGTTTACCCGTTGCCACAAATGTTATTCTGCGGGAATGCGCAATCTTGTATTCTATTGTTCTTGGAATTTTATGATAATAACACCAAGTGTCTTGTTTCATGCATTTACAACCCTAGCAAAAGAAATGACATCTCAGTGATATTTGATAAATTGGCGAATATCGCTATCATCTATGAGCACATTGTTGTATGTGGTGACCTAAATATAGACCTCCTGTGTAATGATTTTTCTTCCAGGAGTTTGATAGATAGCTTTCAATCGTTAGGAATTTCAATCGTAAATAANTTCTATGAGCACATTGTTGTATGTGGTGACTTATATATAGACCTCCTGTGTAATGATTTTTCCTCCAGGAGTTTGATAGATAGCTTTCAATCGTTAGGAATTTCAATCGTAAATAAATATGCTACCCGCTTTGTACCCCACAACAAACCAAGTGTTTTGGATATGTTCGGCGTCAGTGACAGAGATCACGTCAATCACTTTGATCAGCTTCCCATGGCTGGAGTCNTCTACCCGCTTTGCACCCCACAACAAACCAAGTCTTTTGGATGTGTTCGGCGCAACAGTTGATGAAAAGCTGCAACATTTCAATGCACTAGTCAGCCATCTATTTGATAGNCTCAATACGCAAAATCAAGCAAAGGAGTTGTTTTTTAGAGATTATAAACGTATTAACCACGATCTCTTAAACAAGGAGGCTGCTGTGCTTAACTGGAATATGTGTTGGTCAATCGCAACAGTTGATGAAAAGCTGCAACATTTCAATGCACTAGTCAGCCATCTATTTGATAGGTTTGTACCAGTGCGTAAAGTGAAAGTGGGTAGTAATAAGAAACCATGGTTTACTTCGGACGTGTTGTCTCTAATTAGGGAGCGTAGTAAAGCATATAAGAACTGGAAAAATTATAGGAGTTCTCAATAATGGGAAAAATATCGTGTGTCAAGAAATAAAGTAACTTCAAACGCCAGAGAAGCCAAAAAGGCATACCTCCAATATAAGCTTAATGTTAGTTNAATGGGAAAAATATCGTGTGTCAAGAAATAAAGTAACTTCAAGCGCCAGAGAAGCCAAAAAGGCATACCTCCAATATAAGCTTAATGTTAGTTTGCCTTCAAAAGTCCTTTGGAAGAACCTTAAATCTCTGGGGGTCTCAGGTGAGGATAAGTGTGTGTGTAATCTGGACCCAGAAATATTAAACGCGAACTTTCTAGCATCTAACTGCCCAGTGGTATCACCCGAAATACCTGCTAATGCTTCACTACGGGAGCATACTGATGATGATGAGTTTGAATTTGTATCTGCAACAGAGGCGGACTTGATACCGTGTGTATATGCTGTAAAGTCGTATGCTATAGGTACTGATGGTATTTGTCTAGAATTCCTTAAAATTATCCTACCATTTGTAATACCATCACTTACACATATAATCAACTTCTCACTCGCCTTATCTACATTTCCATATCTTTGGAAGATGGCAAATATAATACCTGCGCCAAAAATAAACTTTCCTACCACTCCCCAGCACTTCAGACCAATAAGCATTTTACCGGCCGTATCAAAAGTTTTTGAGAAATTTTTAGCTCGACAAATTACCTGCCACTTGGACAAAAATAATCTTCCGAGTAATTTCCTGTCGGGTTTCAGAAGTCAGCATAGTTGCTCTACAGCCATGCTTAACATTTTTGAGGACGTTCGCCCTGCCTATGATAAAAATTATCTAACAGTGTTAGTGTTGCTCGATTTCTCTAAAGCTTTTGATAGTATTGATCACAACATTGTTTGGCAACATTTTGTTTGGTAATAGCAAAAATATGTGTCATTATGCTCTAAAAACTATCTTAGGCTCGCCCAAATCCATCAAAGTTCAATGTACACAAAAAATAAAAATTAATAAATATATTAATTAACATTTTTTTTACAAAAATTGCAAGGTCTTTGGTATATGGACCTTTTTGTAGAGAATCGAAGTAAGCTAAGAAACATTTTTTTTTATCACTTGAACTTTGATGGACTTGGGCGAGCCTAAGATATTGACCAAAAATTTTCATCTTTCTCAGAGATTGTTTTTAGAGCATTATGAGCAATATTTTTGCTATTACCAATCAAAATTATAAAAAAGCGGATTTTCGGCCCACGCTAATACATATACATATGTGCAGGACGGCCAAGAGAAAATGCGTTTTCCCATTCCAATTTGCTCAATAAAAATTAAAATAAAAAATGCTAATGTATTATGAATACACTCCGATTTATTTAATACAGGTTAAGGTCGTCTAAATAGAATTGTATTAAATAAAAACATACAATANGAGAGAAAATGCGTTTTCCCATTCCAATTTGCTCAATAAAAATTAAAATAAAAAATGCTAATGTATTATGAATACACTCCGATTTATTTAACACAGGTTAAGGTCGTCTAAATAGAATTGTATTAAATAAAAACATACAATATGTTTAAAGATCAATCTGGGTTTATTTAAGATTAACTATTCAGTTGTTACGAAAAATCCGGCGTTCCATCACATGTAAATAAAATTGAACCTGAAATAAATCAAATAGAAGTAAACAGTTATACAAATACTATTAAAATATTAACTCTTACCTGCATAAAGCCTGTGGAAGTGATGATATTATTGGGCCATAACCTTGTGAGTTGTCATAGAGTTCAAATAAGGGTGCTGCTACGAGTTTGTAATTTTTAGGGACGGCAAAGAGGGCTATAAAAAGTAGGGGAAAAACAAAAATATTATTTTATTCATTTCGTTTTGCTTTATTTCTTAAATTAATATTTTATAATGTGTCTTATTAGAAAAATATGGTTACATAAAGCTTATTCCTTTCCAAATGAGGTACAAAAGAACACTCGTTTGAAACTCGACATGAAACTACAACACAACTCTTGTACTATACTGATTATAGGGAAGACAAAAGTATGCACAAAAAACTTAATTATATGTCATTAAAATNTAAAGAACACTCGTTTAAAACTCGACATGAAACTACAACACAACTCTTGTAACTACTATACTCATTATTAGGGAAGACAAAAGTATGCACAAAAAACTTAATTATATGTCATTAAAATTACTCGAAAATATTATGGCCCTTATTATGAGCTGCATTCGATTTTCGATCTTCGCTGGCTATCGAAATTCGTATTATGAGCTATGCAGGCGTGTCGAAATTTTCGTTGAGTATCGAATTTTCTGTCGAACAGAATTTTGCTTTCGATGGTGTAACGAAGTGTTAGAAAACTGTGAAAAATGTATGATTTTGTATGTTTTCTTACATTTTGGCGGCTAGACACTAATTTTAAACAATTTTTATTAATTTCATGCAGTTCTAACATCGTGAATACTAAACACAAGCTCGAAAGGCTGGTTTTACTTGTGAAAGAAAATCCCAATGCTCTGTTGGCTCGATCTCTGAGAACAAAATCGTAGCGCTGTTGATAGTTTTAAAATATTTTAAATAGATTTGGCTCACAAACGCCTCTTTAGATGGTCGGAACTTTTTAATGAATCTGTAGACAAATTTCTTAAATATATTTTATATCAAAATATATTCGAAAGACTAATAAACTTAAATGTTTAAGAGAGCATTTGCTACTCCTGGCCAGTTTACTAAGCTCTCATCCTCTGACGAATCGTTGAACCAGAACTCGTTGTACTCATTTTACCACGTTTTTATAAAATTGCTTTCTTTTTTACTTCATTTTAATTAGAACAAATTTGCATAAATATGTATAAGCACACTATTTAGTTTGCTCGATTTGTAAACAAAGCTTCTCAGCGGTGAAAAATATACTATTGTGAACAACCTAAACGAGCGAAATTCACAATAGCGCTATTCTTCATCCAATGAGCGCCATAATACCAAATGAATATTCGTTCGCTCAGCACTTTCGACCACAGTCGAAAATCGAATGCAACTCATAATAGGGGCCTATATTAATGATCTCTGTGATAAGATAAATCGGGATATTTTATCAATAATGCACCCGGCTCAACTTGAATTGAAAGCGAATTCGGTTGAAATTCACTCGGGAAGTTGCAGAACGTGCCGAAAAGTGCAATTTTGAATAGGCTACAAACTACCGTTGATTTTTGGCAACGGTTTTGCGTATTTTCTTCCGTATAACGAATGTTCGCCCCAAGTCAACGGTAGTTTGCAGCCACTGAATGCAAAATATGTTTCTAAAAAATCTAATTAAAAGGCTTCAAATTTTAAAGAAATTTTGGTGATTTTTTAAATTTATGTACATACATAGTTTAACCCTTAATTAGGCGCATGGGGTCAAGGCCATTTCAAGTTGAAAAAAAATGTCCTGGAGTGCTTGAAGCGTGCTCGCGCTCTCTCTAGCTTCCTAACTCACCGCGGGGTACGTAAATTATTCACTCCCAAAACATCGGCCTGTACANTGGCTACAAACTACCGTTGATTTTTGGCAACGGTGTTGCGTATTTTCTTCCGTATAACGAATGTTCGCCCCAAGTCAACGGTAGTTTGCAGCCACTGAATGCAAAATATGTTTTTAAAAAATCTAATTAAAAGGCTTGAAATTTTAAAGAAATTTTGGTGATTTTTTAAATTTATGTACATACATAGTTTAACCCTTAATTAGGCGCTGGGGTCAAGGCCATTTCAAGTTGAAAAAAAATGTCCTGGAGTGCTTGAAGCGTGCTCGCGCTCTCTCTAGCTTCCTAGCTCACCGCGGGGTACGTAAATTATTCACTCCCAAAACATCGGCCTGTACACATGCGTCGCTACTCTCTTAAGTCCTGACCCCATGTGACCACTCACGTAACATTTTTTGGTGGAGGTAATTTTTTATTTTTGTATCTAAATTTGAAGTCAAAGTTATGCTTTTATTTCTTAAAGTATGATAAGGAGCTTTAATATTATTGACATTACACATTTCGTTGTATTTATTTATTCACGACTAGAACGTTGCCGCGTACACATGTGTCGCTACTCTCTTTAGTGCTGACCCGATACGACCACTAACGTAACATTTTTTGGCGGACGTAAGTTTTTATTTTATTTTTTTAACGGCTTCAAAAAAAAGGAGGGGGTTATCAGTTCGTCGGAATATTTTTTGTTGCATGTTATCGCATAACTTTGGACCACGTTAACAGATTTTGATAATCCTTTTTCCATGGGAAGGGTGCAAGGGTGGTCCCATACTAAGTTTGTTTAGATCCGATAATTGGGTTGTGAAGAAATTAAAGTCGGTTTTGTTTTTTGCTTAAAAATCACTTGTGTAAGTTTAAAGTCGAAATTATTTTTGCTTTGTTTTTTAAGTAAACTATAATAGATTACTTAAATATTTTTGAAAAAACACACTTCGCTTTTCTATTTCTAAAACTCGACCAAACGGCCAATTGTGTGATTTTCTTCATGCGCCTAATTAAGGGTTAATACCTAAACGTACACATGTATACGGTTTTGGTATATAATAAAGTATATTTTAATTAAAAA